TGACACACACTGTATAATCTTCAATACCATATTGGACAGTAAATTACATCCAGCCATAGATGTATTGGACGTTAGAATTATAATTAGGAATTCAACTATTGAAATTTTGACCAATCGAATACTCTTTAGAAAACACCGCCATAGGTTCGAAATGTTGGTTTTTCAGAATGTTCAAAAAAGCTTACCTCAGTGTTAATATACTCCCGAGTTCAATCGCCCATTTAAATTACTTCAGTTATTTATATATTTCTAGCATTCTAAAAGAATGTTCTATATACAGGGTGAATCCTAAAATGATACTGTAAAAGTCGTTAAAATACAGTTTTTCAAAAAACTCAAAAATAAGAATTAAAAAATCCAAATCCGGCTTTGGACTTATGTATCAAATTAAGCTAAATGAGAAGTCTGTTTACGTTTTTATTGTTTTACCTTTTTTTTGATCAGTAGCATGTTTATCTGATACAATGAACTTGGGAATACATTGGTGAGTGTCTTCAGAATGCATGCAAAGTGCAAAGTACATTTTGGAATAAATTATGTGACACTGACGTCGAGTTTATTTTTCATTTTATTTTACGTCTTGGTCACATTTAAGTTGGAACTACATCCTTGTTTTGAAGTTTCTTATTTTTGAAAAATTGGTTTATTTTAATGACTTCTATACCTTGTATATTAAAAAGAGAAAAAATAAAGTTGAAAATATGTTGTTTTTGTGGAATTTTGTGACAAGAAAGAATATTGATATTTTTAAATTTTTAATGATCTAACTAGAGAAATCAGACTGCATTATTCTCTTTGACAAAAAAAAGTTACTTCTAACTTCTATTTCTTGCAAAATTTTGCATGAATTACACGTTTTCTTTGCTGATCTAAGCTGCAAGCACACTTTTAAGTAAATAAATGAGAAACAAAAAAGTATAGCCACGTCTGACAACGGCACGTTCATTGGTTGAAAACGAAATTTTTGACAAGCGAAGCGTGAAGTGTCAGTATTGACAAGTGATAATTTTCTGATTTTTTTTTGCTACGAAATGTATACCATTTATTAATATAAATTTTGTTTCAGCGATATTTATTGTGATTTGTGTTATTGTATTAAGTGCTTACTTATTTAATATAGAAAGCAAAACGTACTAACAATCTCAAAAAAAATAGGATTCAAGGAGGAATGCCTATGGCTGTCATCCAAGAGTCCCCGCCCTAGAAAATACTTTTCCAGTGGGAAAAGCTTTTAAAGTTCAAGCATAACAATTTTCTGTTTCAGTTTTCCCTTATTTTAATGTAGGTGCCAATTTTGTAATAATTTTTCATATTTTTCGGTTAATAACCTCCAATATTATAATTTTACTAAGATCTTATGCTTCCTATGGACACGATTCAAGGAGGGAGTACTATGGATATGGCGCTGAATATGCTATCAACAAACTACATATTACACATCCAGTTCAACGTCATTAATGCAAAAAAATTAAAATGTGAAACTATGCATAATCTGCTTCTGCATCTGGTACTACAATCCGAGAATAACGATCAAGGAGAAGCGACAGCTTGGTGTTTTCAGTGTAACGTTTTGTTACGCGCATGTGCGAAAATAATTAAGTTGTGTATCACTCAAAATCATCTGTCTAAGTCAGTCCAAGTTGTGTTTAGTATGTGAGCAATGTTAAGTGATATTTTTTGGTGTTTGTTTTGTATTGTAATAAGATGAAGATTTTTACACACTTAGGTATTCTAATATAGACACAGAATGTGTCAAAAAAGTTATTAGGAAACTAAGAATTTTATCACATGTATAAATATTAAGTATAATGATTTAATCATTTATATTTTATTTTTTAAGTATTGGATTTTGTGAAATATATGTTTGTCTTCTTTTGAATAAATTTAATAAACAATGAAATGCAGATTTTGACTATTTTATTTTGACATTATAAATAAAATTATGCCAATATAAAGATATTTTGCCCATTCGTATTTATATTTAATTAAAGAATCATACTGGATTTGATTTTGAAAATATTGGTAAATACTTAAATAAGTACTATTTCTAAAAATTCGTCTATACCCAGACAGCACACGTAGTCCAATGGACGTCCACTTTAGATCCATTTGAGGGTCAGAACGTCCATATCCGGGCATCCCATGTACATCGGTTTATGATTATTAATTTGACAGCTGAATATCGATATCCAGAGAACGTCTTTTTGGACTTAATTTTAAGTTTAGTAGTATTTTGTCGTCCAGTGGATCTCCATCTTAAGTCATTATTTATTTAGTCTACCAAATAATACCCATTAATATATACTTCCTTTTTTTAATATAATTAATGTAATATATTTAAGAATGTAATTATAGTCCTTCCATTATCAATTGTAGAACACAGTAATGTGGGGAATCATCAATATTTAATATATACGCACGGTACTCATGCCAAATTAAGAAACGAAAAATAATGTTTACTCCCCTTATACAAAGCGGTAAATATTAAACGAACCATCAGTTGTTTACCAATGAAAACATCGAATCGTAAACTTAAATGCACTGTATTGGCCGAAGGTTTACGGAAGGCAGGTGTTCGAAAATATTCCTGGAAGACAGTCTGCGATATCAGTGGAGTACTGTCGTGCGGTGTGTTTCGTATGTGTGGTTGGTTTAATTTAAATTTCTTTTAATAAATATAAATATGGCGTTCTTTAGACCATGGGCGAATGAAGAAAATGAATTTGCAAAGTGTAGTGAGATTAAAGACAGGTATAACTTTAACGATAAGGATTTAGATATACAAACACAACAAGTTATTTTAAATATATTCGAATGTTTAAAAAAGGAAAATATTCAGCAGTCTGATAATGCGTTCATAATAACAATTGCTGAATTAACTAAAGTAAATAAATTTTCCGTTTATCCGGTAGTCACGAAAGGGGTTGCTGTGGATTATTCATAAAACCGAAAAACATGTAAAGAAAGACTGAAATCAGTTGACAGAGCTACCCAAGATTTTATACGAAGGACAATTTATAGTTTATATAAGGAGAACAGGGTTCCGACATTGGAAGTAATACAGCAAAAGGTGGCAGATTTTCCAGGATACACTTATACCAGTTTGGAAACATTGCGTCAAGTTTTGTCAGCATGTGGTTTTAAACACAAAAAATTGAATAAACAGATGGCAATCACCGAATCGTCAAGGATAGTTCAATGGCGACAAGATTATTTGCGTCAGATAAAAGGCTACAGAAGTTCTAATAGACACATAATTTATCTAGATGAAACATGGTTTGACAGTCACGATGTAGTAAATTTCAGTTGGGTTGGCAGTAGTAAAAATTGCTGTTTGAATGGGCCATGTTCTAAAGGGAAACGCATTATAATAGTACACGCTGGAAGCAAAGACGGTTTCGTGCCTAATGCTTTATTATTATCTGCTAAACAAATTAAAAACTGTGCAGCTGATTATCATGAAGATATGACAGCAGAATTATTTGAAAAACGGTTTAATGAACAGCTTTTACCTTACATTCCACCACAGTCAGTAATCGTTATGAACAACGCATCCTACCACTCGCGGCAACTCCTTAAAATACCAAATAGTAGCAGTAAAAAAGCTCAAATTTTAGCTTTTATGTCTGAAAAAAATATTCCTATTCCTGCCAGTGATAGTAAAAAAGGACCAACAAACAAAGAATTGCTTACTGTTATTAAAGGTATAAAGTTAGAAAAAATGTATTATACTGACAAGCTGTGCAAACTCTTCTCAGACTTCCTCCTTACTATTGCATATTTAACCCTATAGAGTTAATATTGGCAAACTTAAAATCAGAATTACGAAAATGTAATCAGTCTCCAGAACTGAGTAAAGAAGTTGTAGAACTCGTAAAGAAAGTTCTAGCAGCAGACCGCCAAGAGCTTTGGAAAAACTGTGTTGAACATGTTATCAAAGAAGAAGATGAGTATGTAGTATTACCCTCTTTACAACCCATCATAATTCAACCAAATGATGACTCTAGTTCAGAGGATTCAGACTGACATGATTATTTATAAAGATACTTTAGAATTGAATTGTTTTTTTTTCTTTTGTTTTATTTGCAATGAATTTATTTTCCTTTATGGTTTTTTCTTTGAAATTTCGTTTTCCAGAAAAAGAACGAATGGGGTACAAAAAGGGTTCAGTTCACGTCTGGTACCCTGTTTAAACCAAACGCCCTTACAGGCAGGTACACTTTACTTGCTTTTTTACGTTTTATAATTTAATATTCAGTTGTAGCAAGTTAACGAGCTATAAGGATTTTTTTTTAAGTGCAAGTAAGATTACAATTAAGTGCATCTGTCTAAATAAGGGCGTATAATAACGTCCAATTTATAATTATTCGATTTCCTTTTAACGAATACTTTCTTGCATATGATATATATTAAAAGTATTAATAAAATAAATTTATAAAATGAGGTAGGTATCTACGCCTATGGCAGATCAAACAAAATTGTCGGTAAAGGTTCCGAACGAGTTTTTATGATCTGCAATTGATAATGGAAGAACTATAACAATGTAATAGGGTTTCCCGTCAATAAATAAATAAATATACAAGGAATTATATTTAGGTGCCGAAATCTCACTATTTCTATTATTTACCCTAACTACCTCAATATAAATAAATAACATTATAACATTTGCGCGTGAACTATAACAGTGATTTGAGATAATTTGCCAAGCTATTTCGCTCAGTGTAGAATATAAGGTTTTCTCAGTGTATTAAGTTGTGTATTGATAATATTCATGCTGTGAAAAAGGTCCAGCCGATATCAAAGGCACCGACAGTTTGTGTCGCTTCTCCTTGATCGGTATTTTCGGCTACAATGACGTAGATATAACACATACAATACATTTTTAATACCTTTCAGTTTATGACGATCAAATCTTTCGGAACTGAGGTACAGACAGTCAACCTTAAGAAATTTGTATTTCATCAATTTACATCAGTGATGTTACAAGCGAAATAGTGGACTTGTAAAATATGAACATTATGAAATTGAAAATTGTGCAATGCTATGTTTTCGTCCATTTTTAATCAACATTTATCATAATTCGAACATCCACCATGTCTATAATAGAAAGTAATTCACTGCCCAGTGTGGTATTAGTAGATTTTGTTTTCTGAACATACGGTATTCCCAATCTTGTACCAAAAACTGTTAAATAAAGAAAAAAGAAACTTCATTTTAAGCTTACAATTCGAAACAAAAATGTGATTCCCTGTAAGTAAATTTCACCTGTACAAATATACACAACCTTAAAGTACAACCTGATTCCTTGGTCATTTCTTTCTCGTCACGCCAGTCCGCTCTTTAAGTGCGAGAAAGTCCAATTCGGGCAATACCAATCCCGAAAGATGACTGTTTCTCTTCTGCGAGCCGGTATTGGCCGATCTACTGGCGTGACTGTTGTGACTCGAATGGCCAAGATTCGACACGAAATTGTTCCAACTGTGGTGTCCCACCGTCGTGGAGGAATTTTGGTGTTGCGGGGGCAGAGGGCTGGACACGAATTCGCCCCATTCGTCGTCTTCCTGTCCGTTTAGAACGACTTGACTAGATTGTTTGGCTGCACCGAAACCATAGGCTTGAGAAGCGTATTGGTTGCTGATTATTGATGGTTGTAGTGTTGGTAGATCATAAGACGGCCTGGCGTTCATTGTTTTTGGTTGAGAAGTGGGGTTCATATTCGTAGATAACTTCGTTTGAACTAAACCCTGAGGAGTTATGACAGGTATGGGTTGTTTTGTAGGTTGTATGCTGCCCAAATTCAACACCGAAAGCGGTAGATCCGGACTTGACGTTTGATTTCGGTCTAACAGTTTTGTTTTATGAATAGGCGAAGGTTTTTGGACAGAAACAAAGTCAGACCATTCTTCATCCTCGAAGGAGCTTTGTTTCGATCCAATTTTTTTCGATGGTTCCTTGATTTCGGATTTCTTGATGGGGTTACTCCTTGGGGGACTATCCCAAATTGAAATATTACTCCTGAAAATTAAAAACAAATAAATCGGTCATAATTAAAACAATAGACACTACTAATCTCAATACAAATACAACATCAATAATTATAAGAGCAAGACAAACCTATTCAAAGTTAAAATTCTAAATAAATTTCCAATCACAATTTATCTCACAATTATACAATATTTTTTAATGATACAAAATCTAACCAATTTAGATGTAAAATTAATTATAAATACAAAAGAAGAGATTATTTACAAATATTACATCTATAATTTAAATTATAGATTGTTCTGCTACATACAAAGTTGGGATAAAGTATGGAACCAAGCAAATATCTTTAAAACGGAAACGACGTTATTGAGGAAAATTTGCAAATTGCTGTACACATATGTCTGAATCAAGTTTTATTATAAATAATAGGGAAATATCTGACAAAAAAATAATCGCAGGAAAGTTTGCTGATTATTTCAGTTCAGTGTATGACAATGATTCAAACTATAGCCTTTTAGATATCAACGACTTGACTAACAAATGGAACGTAAATTTCTATCAAAATATAGACTTTGAGCAAATATCTGTTAAAGAATTAGAAGCAGCATTTTGTAAGTTAAAACCGAAAAAGACTAATGGGTCCTGATAACATTCCTTGTTATATCTTAAAAGCTTGTAAATACTACATAATATATCTTTGCTGATAATCTACAATAAGTCTCTTAAAACATCCACATTTCCTAGTGAATTTAAGAGAACTAGATTGACAGCTATTTTTAAAAAGGGCGCTAAAAATAAAATAGATAATTAACGTCCCATAGCCATATTAAATTGTACAGCGAAACTGTTTGAATTTGTAATATGTGATAAACTATATGATCACTTTTAAAAATACATATCAACCTAACAACACGGATTTTATCGTAAAAAATCGGTAGATACAAATTTATTAACTTTCAGCAATAAAATATCAAAATGTGTTAATTCCCGTGAACAAGTCGATTGTATTTATACTGATTTCAAGAAAGCCTTTGATAAGGTAAATCACAATATTCTCCTAGCTAAATTGAAATATTAAGGTCTTAGCGATCACCTAATAAAATTCTTTTAGTCTTATCTAAAGCTGAGATCTGAGTACGTAATGTTTGGTGATGAAGTATCTCATACAATCCTTGCAGGCTCTGGTGTCCCTCAGGGCTCCAATTTAAGCCCTATACTTTTTTTTTTAATTTTTATCAATGATCTCCCTCTATGTATTACATCAGAATGCCTGATGTATCCAATGATCTAAACGTTTTTAAAAAAATCTCCACTCTTAATGATTATCTAGACCTTCAAAATGACTCAATTTCGGATTGGTCACTAGGAAATAAATTACTGTAACGGTTTGGCTCTACGGACGAGACAGTGCGAGGGTTTGCCACAACAGTACGAGACAACGAACCGTCAAGGTGACAGGAAACCCAACCTACAATCGGGCTGTCTGACAGAAACTTGGAGAAAGTGTGAGGAATGATCGAGAACGGTCATGGAAGCGGTTACCATAGTTTGTTGATGATACGACACTGTCAATTTGGTGTGGAAGAAAGAAAGCGGGTCAGCGCGGGGCGGATATACGTTTTAATTGTAAATAGTTTACGCGTTCGGATATTTATTTTGTATTTTAATTAAATAAATAGTTTCAACCCACACTCGTGTTACATTACTTTTTAATCTTTCCAAATGCAAGGTAATCACATTCAGCAAAATTCGTTATCCTCAAAATTTTAATAGTATTAAACGTAGACTTTATGTTGATTAAATTCTAGAGTTAGTTTGCCATGACCTAGTACTTATATTATGGCTTTTCTTTGCCTCCCAATTTTTTGTGGAGCTCCAAAGCTGTTAGTTCTGGGCTACTAAGAAAGCAGCATTTGTCCCTGTGCCACTGTAACTACAGTGTGGAGTGACCGTACACCGTCTATCGAGTGCACACCCTATCAGTTGATGAGTTAGGCAGAGGTTTGAATATCAGTGGAGTTTAGTGAGTTCCCTCCATCGGGAGTAGTGAAGTAATTATGTGATACATATTAAACAGCCTTCAGCTGAAATCTACTCAAGAATAATCTAAGTAATGAACCAAATTTGTTTGTTAACTATTTATTCGTAGATCACAGGGACCCAGGACCTGTAAACGTGTTAGAATTAGTATATACCAACGTATTATTTAAATATAGATGATCTAACACGTCATAAGCTCATACGTCATTATAGGTTAAGTATCATTATTTTGGAATTAAAACCATGTGAGATCATAGTTTTATAACTATTTATTTGGCAGAATTTCAGTGTTCGGTAGCACTGTTACGTTATCGGTGAATAACGTTGAATAAGGTTGATAATAAGTATATTCAATAATATATTCATATTCATTTGAATTTGGAATTAAAGAAAGAGACAACTAAACTGTTTAGTTTTATTTAAGCCTGTTTTTGCCTAGTAGTATTTAGTTAACATTTATCCTGGTACAGCTAATTTGATGATTTGGTGGCTGGACTTTGTGGCAAATTATACTGGCGCCCTTTTAAGAACTTTTAATTTATCTGACCACACCACCTCCGACTAGAGCTAGCCGCGGTTAATACCCCAATTGTAGCAGGACAATTGCAGACCACCTTATAACATTCCATTCAATGGCTAATTGATTTATTTAGCCGAAGCCTCGAGTCGTATGTAAAAAAAAGTATCAGACCTTAAAAACGCCCAAAAGAACATTTTAATAAGTCTAAAAGTTTTAGACAAGAATTCAAAAAATACCATACATATGACAAGTCCAACTAATTCTGTTATATCACCAACTACAAATATGATTTAAAATTAAAGAAAATTGCAATTAACAGATCTAAATTGTAATAATTTTATTCGTTTCCTGTCTATGTCCATGGTCACAATTTACAGTATGTATCATAAAATTACAATAAAGAAAAATGAAACCCTCTGTCCCCATGTCTAAAGATCAATTACTGAAGAACAAAAAACTTACCTATCTTTAGATTCTACAGGTTGAATCTTAACAGTTTCTGATATCTTCGTTTCAATATCAACTTTTTCTTCTTTCTTCGGAGCTGAAGGCAGAGAAAACACTTCTTCAAATCTCTTTAACTCATCATGAGTAATACCAGGATCCGGCCAATTGATTTCTGTCGAATTAGGAACGGAGTACATTTGGGTGGGTTGCAGAATAGGGACTGATATTGTTGTGGCTTGAGTTTGAGGTTGTATCTGTTGAGGTAAAGGCGCAGAGGAATGAAACTCTGTGAAATCGTCGTCGTCCTCGTCTGCATTTTCTATCACTTCATCTTTTGATTCAAAGTTTATTGTTGTATCTTTTGGAGCTTCAAAAGGAATAGTATCAAAAATTTCTTGTTTACTTTCTTTTTCAAGAACAGAATTGTTTATAACAGTATCATTAACTGTTGCAATACCACCACTTTTATCACTTTCATGCAAATTTTTGTCTCCAGGACAAACCATCTGAAAATCATCAAATTCTTCATCTTCATCTTGCTTCATATCGTCGTTTTTAATTTCTGGTGGCGTTTCAGCAAATCTACTGACAGACTCGGGACTAACATTCTTTCGTGGCAATTCTGGAGTGACAATTGTGGGTTGCAAAACGACATCTATGTCGATATGTGCTTGGGGAAATTCGGATATGTATGTTTCTCTTAGGGGTACACTCGGCCATCCTGCAGGAGGATTTGATGATTGGAATGACGTAAATTCTTCATAGTCATCATTGTCGGGTTGAGAGGGATGCACAGACTTCGTAGACTGGGTTGCAGATTTGCTTGGTGAATCTAAGAAATAAAAAATATAGTTCCTAGATATTTGTCAGCTTGAATCAATTAAGAGTTTAAAGGGTTCTTGTTATTATTAAACTAACTTTTACGCTTAAGAGCGATATCCATGCAACACCTAACAGCAAATTCAGATTTAGAACACACTGACAACTTTCAGTGCATCTGAACCCACTTTGGCAACGTTGCTCTATTCCCAGGCTTACGCTCCCTTCAATTTATTACTTATAAACTATAGATGATTTAAAATATTAAAAATGCCGATAAATCGCAGGTCCGGTCTAACAAAGAGTATTTCTGTTTTGTTTTCTCGTTTAAAATATCTTTTAAAGGTATAACCTGGTGTAACATTTTCGAAAAAATTTTTTTATAACTAATTTATTTATTTACGAAATATATTTTTAAATATACATATGTACCTATTTCTACATTTTCTTATATACAGGGTGTTTGTTGGTAAGTGTGAATGATTTTAGGGAATGTTTGCCGAAGTTATTTTATAAAAAAAACATAGATCGAAAAAGTCAGTGGCGCAGTACTTTTTTATTAAAAAAGTGGCATTCTCGCACAAACGTCACTGGTACAAGTAGAAATATTTGGAATACCCCAAAAAATACACATTTGCCCCTTCGAAGTTTTTTTGCAAATTTAGAGTAAATATCTTTAAAACTATTAAAAATAATAAAATTTAATAAATTAAAATTTAAACATTCTGTATCTCGGAAGCATATTTCGACCTACTTTTATAGGAACTTTTTTTAACAAAATAACTTTGATAACAATTTGCAAAAATCGTTCGTACTTATTTACAAATACCCTGTATAAAAATACGTTTTTTAAATAATAACCCATTTGATACTAGTTTGTGCAACAACAGTGGACAATCCACTGGAGTTGTACAGTATGTTTTTTTCTACGACCCACTAACGAAAATCTACAAATTTAAAGTATTATTTTAGGAAAAGACAAAATAATTAATTTTAAAATAATTTATGACTTTACTAATTTGTGAAATAAAATAAACATGAAAAAATATTTCATTTAATTAGTCCCCAGCCCAGATTTGAACTCGGACCTCTCGCGTGAAAGACAGATGCCGTATCATCATTTTCACCTCCACATTTAAAATTTTAGTTCTAAAAGTAGTAATTAAATTAGTTTCATATAGGTAGTTTAATTCAAATTTAGGATTTTTTAAATTGTGGTCTAAATTAAAATTATTTATGAATCCTACGCAAAAATAACTCATTTTAATGTATATTTAATCTCAATTCCTAAAAAATATACTGACAATTAGTTTGACAGAATTGTCACTTATGTAAAATTTTAAAAATAATAGTTGTTGGGTGTCCAATATATAAACTGTGATTGGTGGATTTCATTTTTTTGCAGTGTTCTCACTACCCAGAATGGATATGAAATATATTCGTTGAGTTGAACGCAATAGTATATTTTTTCGTTTTGTAGTCTGTGCGTGAATAGTAGTTTGTGCAACAAAATTGGATATGATGGCCATATCGCACGAAGACGAAGTTTCAGAACGACGCCGTAGACGGAGTGCTTAATCGTCTGAGTGCGATACAGACAATCCACTCGAGTTGTACAGTATATTTTTTCTACGACACCCTAACGAAATTCTACAAATTTAAAAAAGTAATTTATTAAGACAAAATAAATAATTTTAAAATAATGTATGACTTTTAATAATTTATAAAATAAAATAAACATACAAAAAGATTTAATTTAATTAGTCCCCAGCCATGATTGAAACTCGGGTCTCTCGCTTGGAGACAAACTCCGTGCCGTCGCCACACTTGCCATTATAGTTCTAATACTTGTAATTAAATTAGTTTTATATGGTTTGATTAAAATTTAAGATTTGTTTATAAATTTGGACGAAATAAAAATAGAAATTCTATTACTTATCGATTATACATAAGAAATATTCATTTTTACGTATATTTAATCTCAATAATTCAAAAATATACTGATAGTTAGTTTGACTACATAAAATTTAAAAAATAATGGTAGCCGGGTGACCAATATATAATCTGATTGGTGGATTTAACTGTTTTGCAGTGTTCTTACTAGGTAGAATGAATATGAAATATATTCGTTCAGTTGAACGCAATGGAATACTTTTTTGTTTTGTAGTATGTGCGTAGATTAGCTAATATTCATGTGGGTATAGAAAAAAGCATATCCATGTGGATGTAGAAAATAGTAGTTTGTGTAACATGAGTGAATATAAATTAAATTGATTTCATATAGTTTAATTAAAATTTATAATTATTTATTTCTAAATATAGATCAAATAAAACTATAAATGCTATTATTTATCGATTCTACACAAGTATAACTCATTTTACGCAATAGCATATTTTTTCGTTTTGTAGTCTGTACGTAGATACGCTATCCATTTGGGTGTAGAAAAAATTGTTTTCTAGTACTAAAAATATTTAAAAATAACATTGAGTAAAATGATTTATTATTAGTAAAAGAAGGAATAAAAATAATCATTTTTATTGACTATTGGTCGGATTTCTACTCGGATTTCTGCTCAAATTTCTAATATCTAAACCTCTAGTGAAACGTGGATCTAAGATCTCGGCTAGTATACAATCTAAATAAAATTGCTTTAGTTTGTTTTCCATATACACCAAAATCTATCATCTTTTTTATTTTTTCTACTAACATACTTAAAGGTATTAAAATAAATAAAAAAAAATATATATTTCGTTTAGTTACGTTAAGTTGCCCCTGAACAATTATTGCATTTTCCCATTATCATTAATAATTGCAAATTTTATTATGTTGTCAACCATTGCTTTTTTCGGAGTCAGTTTTGAAGCAGTGGCAGGATATTTAATTTCGATAATACTGTCTGTTCCTAATAAACCGTCGGAACCTAAAAACCATATTCAGAATCCACAAATAAACCACATTTATTGGATATCCGCTTTAAATTTGTAAATATTGCTTTAAAGCTAAAGGTTTTTTTTTATTCAATACTTAGTATATTAATTTCCCATATATTTTAACTTTAATGCTTAGAAGGGTTTGTCTTTTTCTAAGTAATCTAGCACGATATTTTATAGATTTCCGTCGAAACGGAAATATCATTTTCGGCATTTCCGAAAGTTTTCCCATTTTTATCACAAATTATTATAACTCAGCTTACACATAAAAGTTCATATAAACACATTGACTAAATACGAAACAAAAACACCTACACTTGAACTAAAAAGAATAAAGTTTTTTATTATTTTATTTTTATCCCAATTTTCCGGTACTGCATGCACCGCCAACGTCCGCCGCCTTGTTGCCAAATCAATTAATATGGATTGGAATCTTGACAGATTTTCTCAGATTTCCTAATTCAAGGTTTTCAAAAAATATACGCTTTGGACAAAAAAGTGTATTGGAAAGAATTAGCTGATTTTTATATAACAATTCCCGGTAAAGACTCCTTTTTGCAATAATTTTCATAATTTGTATAGAAATAATTAAAAAATTAGTTTTTCTGAATTCGGGCTCTACAGCGGAGTTCTCTATCATTTGCTTAGTAGGTATACCAAATTTTATAAAAAAATATTTAAAACTGAGAAAGAGAACCTTGAAGTCGTTTTAAGCCTGTTTCTAACCATGGATATCGCTCTTAAGTCCATATACTTACATTTCAACCAGGCGTCCCAATCTTCATAGTCTATCGTTGGGTTAATTGTGTTTTGTTGTGTGGGATTAGTATTAGGAATGTCTAAGGATGCGACTAGCTGTTCTAGATCTAACAACGTGGTCTGACAATCTTAGATGATGGTGATATAAGGTAGTGATAAAATTAATAAATCGTAAGGTTTTGTTTGGGATTGGTGGGAATCCGGAGTAAGGAATCCATAGCAAGCATGAAAAATGTTAAATAAGTGTCAACGTTCACAATTGAAAACAATACACATTAAATATTAGGATGTTACAATGCAGTACATTAGCGTAAAACGGCACACTTGTGCAAGAGGTCCAAAATTTGGATTAACGTGCCTCACACACATACAATGTGAAATTTTTGAATGAATGAAAAACATTATATACCAGGTGTTCAAATTAAAGTGTTACAGTTAAATATCGCCTTTTATAAAAAAACGTTTCAAACGAAAGTTTTATAGTTTTTTGGGGAAAACATTTTGGCTAAAATCGGTTTTTATAGCTAACCATAATATGGTCAATTTTCTTTCGCGCAGCAAAATTTTCTAGTAGGTGTTACTCAATAAGTAAAGTCCATTAAAAAAATGTTTCCTTTAAAAGTTTCTTATTGTTTTATGAACTTTAAGAATATGTAAAACAAAATGGGGTTCCAATTTGAAAAAAAAAAAAGTCCGCCTTGATATGACCATATAAAAAAATGAATTTAGCCTCAAGTGATGCTCCTGGAGAAGAGTATTATGATTTTCGCCACGCCAATTTTGAGGATATACGCCAATGTTTGGAGACAATGGATTGGGATGGGCTTCTTCAAGGAAAGGAACTTTTAGAAATGATTCTTACTTTTTATGACGCTTTTTACTCGGTAATAGTTATTTGTTCCCTTAAAGAAATTTGTTATAAACAGATTTTCACATTGGTATTCTTTTCAACTCAGAAGCTTGGTCAACGATAAAAAGATTGCACATAAGATTTACAAGCCAAACAGGTCTCCCCAAAATTATTAAATATTCAGTCAATTAAGATCACAATGCAGGATTATATCCAGAGAATGCTATTCAAATTACATACATTCTGTTGAAACTTCTGTTAAAAGTAATGTTAAAGCCTTTTGAAATTTTGTAAGTACCAAAAGATCTAATAACGCCATACCTGATAATATGAACCTTGAAGACTCTTTTGCTTCTTGTTTCAGTAAAATATCAAATCTGTTTGCCTAGCATTTTTCATCAGTTTACACTAATCAAAATCTAAATCAAAATTTTAACGATATTGGATCAAAACTTAATGTTTCCTCTTACCAC